GAACTACAAACTGCCATCATGATGCTTACTAAAATCTTATCTGCTTCCAGGCTGATGATCCTTCCTTGTCAGATTCTGGCAGGTTTAATTTTATGCTTGTTTTCCAGCTCTGGCCCTGCTCCATCACCCAGCAGCTTTCTCCCCAGTCCATCTCCACAACCATCACAGAGCCCAGCAGCTGCACGAACACCTCAGAACTTTAGTGTCCCATCCCCAGGTCCTCTGAACACTCCAGGTAAATGATCTGAGAGCTGTACTGCACACCGTGGGTTGGGCTGTGTTTTGGTAACTAATAATTCCTGGGAAACCTGTTATTTTTGGCACAGTGTAAAATTCCAAGAGCTCTACACAGCACCTGGCATTGCAGGCAGTGAACACATCACATACCCCACATAACACAACAGCCTGGGTTCCCAAATCAAAATCCATTGAAACCTCTTTTCTCATCTTCTAACATCATAGTTCTCTTACTGAACCATGTAATGGGTTTTTCTAACTTCCCCAGTCTTTGAAAAAGAGAATGATATTTAATTTAATGGAGCAAGTTTATGGAGGCATAATGATTCCTTATTCCAACAGGAAGGAACTCTTAGTGACACTGTGCAGTTGTAAAGGACATAACTACTCCATCCCAGCAGCAGTCCATCCATCCCAGCAGCAGTCCATCCATCCCAGCAGCAGTCCATCCATCCCAGCAGCAGGCTGCTTTGCTCCAGAACACCTTCCCAGGTGTACTCTGGCACTTGGCACTTCCCTCCCAGTCAGCATAAGCAGTTTGTGCTACTATGGATGGAGGTGACATACTGGCTCCTTCTCATACCACTGTTGTGTGCTTTGCAGATAGGAAAGGACCCACTTAACCAAAACTGCTGTGAATTTATTTTGTTTATTTTGTGTTTAAAGCATCAGAGTGAAGGCAAAATAAAGACCTAGAGAATGGGTATATGGAACTTTGAAACTTTGCTGCAAAAAAATATATTAAGTGGGAATTGCTGTTCTGCCCATGGAACATGTTACTTCCACACAAAGACTACAGGGCTGAGCAAGCACTTAAACTATGGAGGGTATCCAGTTGTGGATTTGGATATTTGACACGAGCTACGCTGAGAGTGCCACATTTCAGATCAAGACTAATTAAGAATAATGTTCTGCAATATCTTTTATCACCCCGTGACATGCAGTCTTCCTTTTTGCCAGGAAATCCAAATTCTGTCATGAGTCCAGCCAGTTCTGGTCAGTCAGAGGAGCAACAGTACCTGGAAAAACTCAAACAGCTATCAAAATACATTGAGCCACTCCGGAGGATGATCAATAAAATAGATAAAAATGAAGGTGAGGTTTCCTGTGTTTGGCCATGCATTTATCTGTGTCAGCTCTCTTATGTGCTGGAAGAAGCAATACTTTGTCTTTTGTGGTGACTTCCTTTCCAGGGATTAAAAATGTCAGAGCTGTTATTTCTTGCTTCTAACTAAAGACTTTAATGTGAGGAATGGGCAAAACCCCTACCCTTAAATTCTCATCAGTTTTTTTTTACTTCTGATGGTTTTGAAACATGTAGAGGTCATGCTTTGGATATACTTAGGATTAGATGAAAGATCTTCAGTCCTTACTCCTTTCTTTAGTATTGGCTCATGTTTTCATTTTTGACAGTGTGCTGTACTTCTGTCTGCGAGAATGGAAGCTTTTCTTGTAGTCAGTGTTTGTTTCTCACACTGTTTCAGACAGGAAGAAGGACCTGAGTAAAATGAAGAGTCTCTTGGATATCCTGACTGACCCTTCAAAACGGTAACTTTTCCTGTCAGTTTTCCCACTGTTCCAGAATCTGGTGTTAGCCCCCAGCCCTGCTGCCACTGAGGCTGTCTCTGGGGCTCAGACTGCAGAAACACTTCAGCTGAGGTGCCCATTTGCTGGGTGATGTGCATGAAACTTCTCCTCTTCCACAGGTGCCCCCTGAAGACGCTGCAGAAATGTGAAATTGCTCTGGAGAAGCTGAAAAATGATATGGCTGTGGTATGTAATGCTTTGTGCCAGCAGAGATAAGCAACTCATTCCAAAAGGCCTTAAGACTTGGCAGGATCATTTTTACAGTTTTTATTACTCATGGTGTTAAAACTTCAAGTAAGGTTGGACAAAATACGAAAACAGGAAAAAACGGGCAAGCATTTACTTCATGTTAGTCACCTGTGTGTATCTTTTAACTGAATTTCAGTTTCTTGTGCTCTGTGCCAAGACTTGAATAATTCTTTTTTTGGACTGTGGCTAATTTCAGGACAGCCTTCCTAAACCAAAACCGAATATGTTTTTGCTTTACTTCCTCCCTTAATGTTACTATGTGCAGTTTTGAGAATCATTTGCATTTTGTGCCTCGGAAGTTTACTGCTACAGAATTTTTCAGACTCGGCGGTAGATATTTCTATTTCTGGTGACAATTAAAGGACAAGGGGCTTCTGTTGTGTTTCAGCCAACTCCACCACCTCCCCCAGTGCCCCCCACCAAGCAGCAGTACTTGTGCCAGCCCCTCCTGGATGCTGTCCTGGCCAACATCCGCTCCCCAGTCTTCAACCACTCCCTGTACCGCACGTTCATGCCGGCCATGACGGCGATCCACGGGCAGCCCATCACGTACGTACCCAGTGCTCCTCCTGTCAGGAGAAATGCCTCTGCACAAATCATTAAAACAACGGATGGGCTCATGGATGGGGCACCCATTCCTTTTCTTTTTCATGTGTGGAGTGTTTAACAAGTCCTCCTGTGGGCTGTGTTGTACACAGGGCCCCCATTGCTTCCCCTCGGAAGCGGAAATATGAAGAGGATGAAAGACAGACCATCCCCAATGTCCTACAAGGAGAAGTTGCGAGGTTAAATCCTAAATTCCTGGTGAACCTGGACCCTTCACACTGCAGTAATAATGGCACAGTTCATCTCATATGCAAGCTAGGTAAGAAGAAAGGGGGAGATGTGCACTCTGGTTCCTCCTTGGAGTTCACAGGCTAGAAGTCAAGCTCAGTTATGCACTGAAAGCCTCTTGTCTGGGAAGAAATGCTCTGCTCTGATGGAAGTGTGTTTGCCTTTCAGATGACAAGAATCTTCCAAATGTCCCACCACTCCAGCTCAGTGTTCCAGCAGACTATCCAGATCAGAGCCCTCTGTGGATAAAGAACCCCAGACAGTATGGTATGGCATGTGTTGGGCATGTGTATGTGCCAGTAGTGGGGAAGTGTGAACACTTCTTTCAGTGTTTTAATATGATTTTTGTAACAACTTCCTTTATCTGTTACTTTTTTTTTTTCTCCAGCAGCCAATCCCTTTTTGCAGTCAGTGTACAGATACATGACTTCAAAACTATTGCAGCTCCCAGACAAGCATTCAGTCACAGCTCTGCTGAACACCTGGGCACAGAGCATTCGTCAGGCCTGTCTCTCTGCTGCATAACAGCTCACCTCCTGCATCATGGAGCCAGGAAGAAACTCTCAACAGCTGGCCTCTTCCACATGCCACTGGAGAACCACAGTGTGGGGAGGTTACTTCAGAAGAAAGAAAAGCCTTATGTTGTTTTGTTTCTAGGCTGTCAGGGTCAGTAGAGAACCTGATGTTAGACTTAGCTCTCATGCTTTCCATCTTCTGCCTCTGTGGACTTTTGCCAGCGTTTTCAGATATACAAAATGTGTATATATGGTTCTCAAGACTGTATTTAGGGTGAGTTTTTATTGTCTTCTTAGAGAAGAAATTATTTGTGGACTTCCATCAGGGAGTCTGGTATAAGAGGGGGTAGGGAAAAATGTCCTAATTTCCTTCAAAATTTGCTCAGTGCCAGTATTTCTTTCACACTGTATGTTTTGTGACCTGATACTGCCCCAGAAATAAATGAGCTGTAACTCAAATGTGCTTGCAAACTTGCCAGTGGATGCAGGAAATCTTTTTGACTGTTAGCTCTGCCCAGAGATGGGATAAATTACATCCTTTTAAGGCATCCCTCAAATATGTGAGATACATCTGCATAATTATACTTGGGGGTGGGAATGTGGAACCAAACAGAGCAAAAAAGGCTTCATTTTATAAAATCTTTTATAGCTTATTTTAAATACAACTTTATGTAAATGGTTTTTGGTTAGCATGGACCAGGTTTCTCACTCCAACTGACTAAGGTTGATGAGAAAGAAGAGGTACTGATGTGCACACTGACTTCCTCTATAAATTCAGCAAATGTGTTCATAAAGATGGGGGGAACCAACAGTATAAAGACCAAGTAACAAATCAGTCCAGCAGGTTGGTAGCTACATTTCTTCTTTTCAGAGTCTTTCTGAGGCACCTGGCTTCCAGTGGGAGTTAATGCAGTGCACTGAAAATGTTTCTGTACTACATCAGTTAGTTTGTTTAAACAAAAAAGGCAAAAAACAACATCTCAGGAGTAGAACTGACAACTAATTCATTGTGCCTTCAACAGTGATGGGCACTCAGGTCAGTCATCAGCTGCCTTAGTGTTGGCACTTTGAATGAAAACATTTACCACAAGTAACTAATTTAATGCATTTTTCATACTTCCCTATGTGTCTAAGTTGCTCCTTCTTAAGTTCCTAGTGCAGGAGAATGTCAAATATCAGATGTTCCAATGATATCCTGCCCTCTCTCTCTGTATTGTGCAGCAAACCTTAAAGAGTAGCTGGGCTCTCTGACAGTAGTGTCAAGAAATTGCTGTGACCTCTGTAAATCCACGTGGTGTCATCAGTTTCAGGATGTTTTTAAATGTGGGTACGTAGTAAGCACTGACTGAGGCAGCAGAATGCTGTCAGTATTTTGTACATGAGCTAATGCAGTATCTGTCTGTTTCTACTGTAATAAATTTATTATTATTCCTGTGTTGGATGCTAACATTGTACTGCTCCTCCCCTGTTAGGATACCATGGGATGAGGGTTGCTATGTTCTGTGGTAAGTGAAAACTCACACGCTGTGAAGGTTAGGGGACAAAAAATCATAAAAGGCTCTGTGTCTCATGGATCACATCCTTCCTGTCCTCAGTGAACTGGAAGAACTGGTCAAGAGGTCAGTGATGGGATACACCTGTGGCATGACTCAGTTTTATAAATACTCATGGCTCATTCTTCTCCCCTCAAAAAGAAAATCCAAACAACATAATCACTCGAGTGTACAGGAAGAGTTTTATAAAAATAAAATTTACATTGATTATCTCTACAAGGCCACATCAATGTTTATAAAACTTCATTAACTTTAGTATTAAAAAATATTTTAGGAAGAGCTGATATAATTAAAACATTTTAGTCATGGAATCTCGGGCTCATCCTTAAAACATTTATTTCTAGAAGCCAGGAAGAGGAAACTAGTGTTCATGTGGTTTCCATCCTTCGAAGAAAAAAGTCATTATTACAGCATAAAGAAAATATCCAATTAGGATAATGAATGTGCAGCCAACTGGCCCGACATAAAACCAGGATGCAAGGAAGTAGATCATCAGCAAAGAGATCAGAGTCCTGTAGCTGGCCAGAAACCTCAGACTGATCCTGGGTCCCCAGTTCTGGCTCGTTCTGTCCCTCACCACGGGGCTGTACCTGATTTTCTGTACGAGCTGGGGGTTGGTCAGGTGGTAGCGACACAGTCTGCCAACAAAATCGTCCCTGGAGCAAAGCACTTCCATCTGATCAGCAAACTGAGGGAAGATGCATTTAAAAGTTAGTGTCCTCCTGCAAATGCTGTCATAAAGTAACTTATTTTATGATTTTCTTAATGCAGAGATCAAACTGCACTGTTAAACAGCAGAACTGTCTTAGCACAGACTTGCCTTGTGTTTTCATACCTAAAAAGAATTTGCTTTTCCTGTTTAGAAGCATTCATTCTGTTACTCCCCTGTTCATCAACCATGAGTCCCTTAATAAATCACATTTGCAATGCTTTGTGTAGGAAAAGCAGAATTAGAGGTAGAGAATCAGGCCTCATACTGCTAGAAAATACCCATCTAGACCACAGTGAAGAGGAGTAAGAACAAAGGAAGTGTCCCGGGGGTGCAGCGGGGTAGAACAGGGCTGTGCAGGGGAAGGCCGGGAGGAGGCAGCGCTGTGCTCACCCTCTCGTTGAGCGCCGAGGACACGCGGAACAGGAGCCGCACCAGAGCAGCGCTCTCGTAGCTGCGGATGGGCTGGAGCTCGGTGTCCCCTTGGTACTGCAGCTCAAACCTGCGTAAGCCGTTTATGATCTACAAATGGGAAAAGGAACAGCTCAGCTTGCAGCTCCCGCCTGAAACACCTTTTTACTGGCACCTCTCTTAGCCCCAGGGTAAGTTGCATTTCTCTTTGTCATACAAGGAGAGCTTGTTTTTTCAAGAACAGCCCAGGCAGCGATAAGGAATTGTTTTTCTCTCACCTGGTACCTGCCAAGGGGTGTAAGGATGAGGCCGTTCTCGCTTGCAATGCAGTCTGGAAGCTGTTTTTTTCCGTTCTCATCTTGAGCTGTCCCACACTTCATCATCATCTGGGTCAGCTGGGCTTCACTCAGCTACACAAGAACAACGCAGTTCTAAAGCAGGTGTTTGATCCACCCCCTGCTTAATTTAAACTCATTAGCATTGGAAGTCTTTGACAGCCAGCTCAGATACCAAGAACTGCTTAAGAGCACCTCAGTTAGACATTAAAATGAGATAAACCTCTCCAGCTTTGCTTGTCCAATTCTAGATGAGTGCTCTGGCTTTTATCTCCCTTAGCTCCCAAAGAGTATCAAAGAGCTGTCTCCTAGGGCAAGTCTGTACAAGGGAGTGTTGCTGCAGAGAAATTAATCTGTTATTTTTAAGTTTAACAGTTCATCCATAGCTGCAGTTGTATTTTTACAGCTCTACATTTAGAAGATATGGGAGAGTTTTTAAAACTGCCTGTGTGCAAACAAGAGGACAGCCTTGGTATAAGCAAGTTTGGTATAAATTACAGTCCAAAAGAGTCATCACTTAAGGTTTGATACTTAAAAATTCAGAACACCTACCTCCATCTACACTGAAAATGGGTTTTGAAGCTTGAGAAGATGTTAGAATTTACTAGCAAGGTCTCTGGACAGCTGTGTGACCCCACACAGTACAAGAGACACAGATGTACATTTGACAAATCCTGACTCTTGTTCTTGCTGCCAAGTTCTTAGAAAGATGTTACTTACCTTAAAGATCTGGCACAAATATTCCAGTGCCTTCTCCAAGTATTCATCTGTTTTTTTGATGCTGTCCTGCCCAATTTCATCAAGGTCATTGCCTGTGTAGGAACCATTCACATCAGATGGTGTGAACCTAAACCACGAGAAGAAGGACTGGCTGGCCATTGTCTCTGCAGAGTGGTCTGATATGGACTTTGCTGTCTGCTGTGCCTGACAAATTAACTGGGCCAGTTTTAACACCTAAAACAGAGAAAAAAAATTGTGTGAGACAAAGATAAAGGACTACTAAGCATCAACACAGGGATAAAACTGCCTTGATAGCTGAAAGTGAGAGCAGTCCCAGCAAACTCACTCCCTTAGTGCATATGGATTTGTGCTGTTAGCTGGATTTCCAATAGGGCATAGGCAGTTCTGTTGAAGTATTTAAGAAACCTCAGAGCTGCTTAAGTTCTCCAGCTGCTTTTTTTTCTTTTTCCTGCTGCTTTTGTCTGAGCTGCTGGTAGGTACTGATCAGTCAGAAGATCACAGTAAGCATGTTTGAGAGGAAATACCATATACTGCTCCAAGGCAGCAAACTGCTACATTAACTTATTATTTATCAGAGAAGCAGATTTTTTGCAGCTGTGCTGGACTGAGACCCCACAGGGTCCAGAACTCACTGGCAGCAAACTAAACTATTCAGTAATGCAGGGTGTGAAGTTTTCTACTTTTAAGTTCTGACATGGATGCTCAGCACTGAGAAACATCTGTCACAGTAGAAAGGCAGGTGCAAAGGAACTTGTTGCTTACCAAATTCCTGACTTCTGTGCCAAACATCTGTTTATACTGGAAGTCCTGTCCTTCCAGGCTGTAAACATGACTCTTCACCTTAAATGAGGCATCTGTAACAGCTGGAGACCGTGATGACAAAAAACTCCCACCAAGAGTGGGGCTCATAAAAAGTCGGTGTTGACGGTGGGGAATCACAAGTTCTGGCTCCAGGAATAACTGTTCTCCTAGAATTTGAAAAAAAGCACTGAAGATGGTTACATAATACTGGTCTTGCTGGAGAAGGTCCAGCTGCCTTAAGGCTGCTGGGCAACTTTATTTAGAGAGAGAGTTCTGAGGGGAAGGAGGCCCTAATTAGTGTTCATTATTTACATCTCTGTGCCCAGAACAGAAATGCCAGCGTGCATTTAATGCAGACCATATAATGCAGCATAAGAAAAATTTACAATTGTATTGGGTTCTTTAAAAGAAAAATTGTGAAATGCCATCTGTGGTGATTATATGAGAACTGCAGACTTACTAAATCAATTGACAAACATTAGTGAAGACAGACTTCTGAATGGCGAAATAGCATGAAAAATGGGAGAGAAGTGCACCTCAGTGCTCCTGAGATGAGACGTGACTATTGTGAAGAAAGACTGAGACAGAACAACACAAGATGTAAAAATATCCTTTTACCTTTCAGGATCATTTCAGCTAGATTGGGCTGAGCAAAGACCTTAGCTACTCGGAACACCATGAGGGCATTTTTTGGACTGACCAAATCTGTCCGAAGAGCTCTGTTCAGAAATCCCACAAACAGCTTGGTATACATGAGCAGGTTCTCTTGAATGAAGGCAGCCCTGCCAAAGTGAGTACAGGACTTATGAGTACAGCTATTTAAAGAAGTGTTATTTTGTCTACTACCAAATAAGCCACAAAGGGAATGTTTTACACTGTCTCTGGAAAGATGGTAAATTTACACTGAGACAAAAGAATATTCTCAAAGCAAAAACTAGTGTTCTAAGAAATCATTCTCTAGTCTTATACAGAAATTTAACTCAGGTTGGTGCATAGTTCCTGAAATCCTGCTATTTTACTCAGGATCTCCTTGAGGTTTGGCTCAGGTCAGTCCCAGCTGCTCCCCTCCTCACCACTTCTCCGAGACGCTGCGAGGCAAAGGCTCTGTGCTTTGCGGGGGCTTTTCGGGCGCGTACCTCCAGGGCTGCAGGTAACTCAACCACATCTCAAGAACCTAGGCAAAACCCCACATAAACACACTTGAGTGCCAATACTTCTTTGGAAAGGAAGGCAGGAAGGGTTTTTTGTTAATTATTTATTTATTTGTTATAGAAAGAATTCTACTGGTCTAGAAAAGAGATGTAAAGACCAAGAAACAGCTGCTAAAGAGCAATAACTAATAACTAGTTTTAATAACTAATAATTAGTTCTGTTGAGTACAGACTAAGTGGAGAAGCAAGTACATACTGCTCTGAAAGAGGCATCCAGAGGCCAGTGGCCAAAACAGTGTTGCAAAAAGATATAAAGCTTCTCCTGGACAAACCGAGGAATCACAACCCTGCAAAAAGATTCAAAGAAGTCGTGTACAAACTGGCAGCCAATCTTAAAAATTAAACACCCAACCCTACCAACCAACAACCCAACACACTTTCACAAATGCAAATAGAGAAAGAACTGAGCAAAACTTGTTCTTTTTTAACTGAAACTACTTCAAGCCATTGAATTTCAACTGACATTAATTACCAAATACTAAACTAACTTTGACCAGAATCCTCTGGTAGCATTTTCTTTTCTCTATAGACTAGTGCAATAGCTGCAGCTGAAGCTGCCCTCCCTCAGAGAATGTGAGAAACATAATCCATTAGCTCTCATATACTTTTAATAATGTACTTCTGTATTTAGCATCGAAACAGCCGAATTCAACCTCTCAAAGAAAGATGAGACTTTCATGGAGAAAGCTCAGCTTTTCAGTTCTGTACATTTCAGAGACATGCTCATGTACCAACCTTTTAAACTCCTCCAGTGGGCTGGCTGTGTGGGAGTGGGCTGAAGGGGAGAGAGGCTCTGGCTTCAGGCTGTTGCTGAAAGCATGCAGATGTTTCACAAGCAGTCTTACCACCAGCACATGCTCTTCAGTGGGCTTGAATGACTCCTACACTCAAAGCAAAAGACAGGCACCTAATGAGTGTCATTTGCTAAATGTCCAGGGAATTCAGGAAAATTATATTCTCAGATCAAAATACAGGAAATGCTCTTTTCCTTCTAGGTTCTTCACCATAGTTTGGTGCCACCTGATTTTGGACAGGTTTGCTCCCCAGGACAAGCTGCATCGATCTTCTGCCATCAGTTCACTAAGAAACAGCAGCATATTTAAGTTGTAAGAAAAGTTATCTACAGTACTCTAATGCACTGAATTTTGGGCTAGCTTTAAAGAGCAGAATAACTTGTAGATTTTGACTTACCCTTTTCTGAAAAAAGAATATTCAGCCTTTCATTATGGCTACAAGTTCCTTGCTGCAGAAGCACAGCAGGTCCTTTGCTTATACCCATGGCCGGCTGTACTGAGTTCTCCTTCCTATGCTGGTACTCATCGGCCTTACAGGAGAGAACAATCCTAGACAGTTACAGTAAGAACAGGAACTGTTTTGAGTCCTGTGAGATCCTGTTGGTTCCAACACCCTCAGGGGGAGAACAGCCTGGGTGGGAGCAGCACAGGGAGTGAGGGTGAGCCACAGCGCTGTTACTAATGAGAAGTGAGTGTGTGACACAGCAGGGAGGTGAACGAGGCACAGAAGTGCTGGTTCAAAGCACAAACTCCTTTGCTGTCATCTGCTCTACCACCACTGAAGGCAGACTTTGAAATTTGTATTCTGTTTCACAAAAGCTGAGATTAATGTACATGAAATGTAAGTTACAGCTGCAAATACAATGGAAAGTGCTGGAAAGGTGTATTGGATTAGCTGCAAGAAGTTTCCAGTGCTTGAGGCAGGGAGGGTGTGTCTATGTCTGTGTGTCCTTCCTCAGCAATGCCTGAGGCAAAGCAGATGCCTTTTTACACTCTCTAAGATTTTGAATACACTGTGCCATTCACTCCAGGCTCCATGACAGACACAGTCCTGCAGTGCAGCCAGACCTGGGACTCTTCTGAGAGGGTTAAACTTCTACCAGCTCTAATGAAGGCTGGGCTTATTTTTGACAGCTCCAACTTGTATCAGCACATTTTCTACAGTCCTGATAAGTTTATGCAAGAAGGTAGAACTCCAAGAAGTTGTGTGGTCCTTGGAGTTTGGACCAGGATCTCCACAGCAATTAGAGAGGCTGAGTACTCTGCTACAGGTCTTGAAAGGGTGCAGTTTTAAAAATCCCAAGCCCCCACTGAAGGTACCTTTGGAATTTACAAAACCACCCTATTTCAGTACAGCATTTTGGGTGATGTTAGCAGTTTCTCCACATAGCAGTTCTTACAATTTCTTCTTAGCCTGGATCACTACCATTATGATCATCACTGGTTTAAAAACTACTTTTCCCCACAAGTGTTTTTGTTGTCAAACCTTTTCGTACAAAATGGACGTGTGCCATTGTTAATTCTTAATACAGTAATTAAATAAATATAACAGTAAAAAAGATTTAAAGTAGTATTTTCTGTGTTCCTTTCTAAACAGCACCTTCAGATATCGTAGCACTTAATTAAAACAAAAAAAGGATTAAAGAGCAGGGAAATGCCATGTAGTGCTAAAGAGCTTTATAGTACATAAGCTCAGCCCTCCCCATTCCCAAAATGAAGACCCAATGAATAAAGGGCTGAAGTAGGAAAAGAGGAATCAGCAATCTGTTCCAACAGGAATGTTTTCGCATGCACATTTCCTGAACAATCTGCAAATGTACCACTTGTGCTTTTGCAAAAGTGGACAGCCAAATTGACATTGCCACCACAAATTTAGTATTATCCAATGACATTTCCTTGGCTAAAAACCCCCAGATGTTACCTACCTTAATCTGGGTGACAGCCATGCAAATTCTGATCTTTTCTTCCACGCAAGGTTTGCTTAAATGACTATTGTGTGAGAGGCAGAAATCTGCCATTGGTGGAGACAGCTTTGGTGCCAAAAAACAGCATAGCTGGTAAGTCTTACATTGCAAGAATGCATCTCTAGAAACAGAGTTTCCAATTAGTGCTCATAACATGCTAGAGTTTAACTCTTTTCTCCATGACCTTTACTAATATCTCTCAGTATCTGTTTCACTGAACAATTTGGTGAATTTCAATGCAATGTTCTCCAACTACAAAACCACACCTTGGCAGAAGGAGCTGCTGTACAGCCAGCACCAATACACTTCGCAGATTATATGATGGAACAAGATTCTTAAAAAGGAAACCAAATGAAAAGATGGTAATACTTGGTATGCGTGGAGGGCCTGGTAGCTGGATTGGGCAGGACTACCGTGGTGTTTACTGGAGATACTGAGTCGGTAGTGGAGAACCTCCAGCTGAGACAACAGAAACAAAAAGGAAGGGGGGAGGGAAAAAAGGAGAGAAGAGAGCAAGAGAAAAAAAAAGTGAGAATGAGCCCAAGGAAGAAGGGTGGGGGGAAAAATGAACATCACAAATACAGTCAGGGACAACATATCACAGTAACAACTGCAGCCACAGTATCCTCTTTTTTCTGGTGCTCAGTAGATTGATTCCATAGTATTTCTTATCCTTTGTCAACTTGGAAATACAACTGGGAGCAGGTGTCAAAAAACTGACTGTTCTCTTTGCTGAGCTCAGAGCAAGGACTGGTGGGGGATATGGAGCTTTTGCCAAATAAATTCCCAGTTTCAGAAGTGAACTGAACTGCAGCAACAAGGATTTACACACTGTTTATTAAAAATGGACTAAGAGAGCAATATTCTGCAAGCTTTTTTACATCTATTTTGAAAACTTGGTCATTTCTTCCTGTTCTGCTGCAGAAGCACAGTTTGTATGTGGAAGAAACTCAAATGGGACTTTCCTGGCCTGAGAAATCCAGTGTCTTCTCTCTAGTTAAAGGCCATTTGGAAGGCTGCAGGTCTTGTGAATTTCCTCAAAAGAGGAAATTACTTTTGCTGTGAGGGAAACATTACACATCTAAAAAGGCAAAGACATGCCCAGCCCAGTACTATATGCTGATGTAAAAGGCACTTTGCCATAACACTGAAGTCTCTGCAAGCCTCAGCCAGATTCCTTCTTGAAGGAAGAACCTGGAACCTGACCATTATTTTCTGACTATGACAGTGAAGAGGATACTGTAGCAACAGTGACACACATGTATGAAATTAATGAAAAAACATAAAACAAAAAATGTACACTACACAGACCCCAATGACTGTTGTCAGGCATCTAAACTAACTCTCCAGATCACACCTCTGCTGTCTTTAAACAGCCTCTACCCCATCTCCTCTGCCGACAGTTTGGCAGCTTTTGGTTTCACACCCTTGGAGTGGCAGGATTGTTACTGCAGGCTCCCCAGGAGCTTGGGCAGATTGTCTGCTTCCAAACTGACTCCCCTGCCACAGGAACCTGCAACCCCCTGGATTTTCATGGGTGTTCCACATGCAGTGCTGGGGGCTGAACACCTGGCATTGGAAGGTCAGGAAGCATTACATAAAGTTTTATCAAATTACTTCTTTTAAGTGTTTCTTGTGTTAACAGCAGAAGGGAATAGGAAAAAAGATGCTGCACACTTGGACTCTAGATCATCAGAGAGAGAAAAAACAAACAGACAAAAGAATTGGAAAATAGTTGAATTAAAAGGGAAAACAATGACAGCATAGCAAATAGCATCAACCTCAGGTTCACAGCAGACCCAAGAAAAATTCAAAGCTGTAATGTGTATCTTCTCAAAAGAAATTGTTTACTATTCATTCCCATTCCACTGCCTTCTACTTATAAAAGGAAGTCTGTGATGACATTACCAAGGCTTAGGGAAAAATCTATGACTCTCCTTCTCAGGGAAGTTACTTATCTGAGATCTGTCTTGGCCCACGAAAGCAAACAAATCTGGCTGCTGGACAAAGAGTGAGCAAGTTCTGCAGAACCTCATCCCACCTTCCAAAACAGATATGCAGCCATTTCAAATCACTGATGGCCAAAAGCTCTAGATCCAGCACTGAATGGTCACTAACTACCCTTCCTACCAAACACACAGAAGGCTAAATGCAATCAAGTGATCCTTCATAATTATCAATAATTTTAAGAATAAGGTATAGGGCCATCTTGGGTTTCCAGTCAAGGTCTTTAATGCTTGTGTTAAAACAGAACTTACACTTCTGGATGTTCTACTTCCTCATCTGAGGAACTACAAGGCAGACTGCTCTCCCTCAGCCCACCCAGTCTACAAAGTTCAGTTTAAGCATCACAGGCTAATGAACAGTCCTGCCCTCAGCTATCTGGAACCTTTCCTCAGTCCTGCAGGAGAGATCCTTCATCCAATTTATGTATCTCATGGGGAATTCCAGTCCCCCATTCCACTGTTCCACCCCCCCAAAGAGGAAGACTTCCTATTTTACATGTTCATGATTACTTCCCATCAAAAATGAAACTAAAATACCAGGAGGGAGTTATGGCCTCAGGTTGTGGCTCAACACACCTTGTGGAGGATCCTGAAGTGCTGATTTCACAGAACTGTAAGCTCTACCTAGGCCCTACTCCACCATAACGTGGAGAGTCATTGTCTGCAACTGCTGCTCCCTAGTGCTAGAAGAAAGCATCTGAAATACAGAGGGTGAACAGAGGAGAGAAGTTTAAAGCAATCATCATTTCTGGCCTAAGCACAGCGCTTGATGCACAGAGACTGGACAGACAGACAGACCAAAGGTACTTCAAGCAAAGCCTTTCCATCACAGGTGCACAGCCATGCTGCTGGGAGTCCCAAGTGGAGACTTTGCAACATTAGTGAGTTTGCATTTTGACCTCAACTTTGAGAATAAAAGACAAAACCCATCACATTTCAGCTCTCCAATGTTTTTCCCTAGCAAAATATAAATGTGGTTTATTCCATATCCTGTGGAGTGAAGGATTAGAATTTTTCAGTCAACTCCCATATTGCACTTCCACACAGGAATAAATCCTGAGTAGCTTTTATTATTTCTCTCCCCTTCTATGAAAGTCCCACTGTGACCCAGAGGGAATTCAGAGGATCAGTATTTTCTCCTTCAAATTCCCTTTACATTTATAATGCCTTCAATCTTAGCCTCCCCAACACTTACTTACTTCTTACATGCAGTAGTTTGTTACTGAACAGGCCACCACAAACTGCTTACAACAGTGTATTATCTGAGCAAGAGCTTGTCAGATAATCCAAATTCTGTAGCTACAGAACTGCTTCTGACACCGTTATGGTGAAAAGCATCTTTTGGAACATGAAACAAAAATAGCAGTTTAGAAAGATTTTTTTAAAATTTGGATTTAGGCTAGAAATGGTTATGGATGTTAGAAATTACTAATTGGTATTTCAGTAACAGTTGCTATCTCTGCTGGAAATCAATTTTGGCTATTTTTAGCAGTCATGTTGCCCCAGTGGGATTTAACACAACGGTTTTAAAGTGGCATCTTCTCAATCATTAATACTTTGATCTTCTCAATCATTAGTACTTTGATTAGTGTATTGATGTTCAGATTGTTGTGACCATCCCACAAACTCATCTTCAACAAAAAAAAAAAAAAAAAGAAACAAAAACCAGAACAAAACTAACACAACTTCTGCAATGAAGGCAAATCTGGATGACACACTTATTCACAACATTCTTTGTAACTGGATTATCAACTTGGCACACTTATGTAGATACTCTGGTAAGTTATTTCGTTCCTTTGGACTGATATACAAAAATATATTCTGCACAGAACAGGAGATTTACCCCAAGGTAAGAGCTCAACCACCAGGTGATGCTCACGAGTGCAGTACAAACTGTTACCTTGACGTGAGGGGACTGCATTTTCTGATACATTTCCAGTGAATAGTGATGAAGCCACATTTCAACAAAGATCTGCAAAACAAATATTTTCTCAGCTAGGGAAAGAGAAGTAATCCCACACAGTCAGTCAGAAGATAAGTGTAAGGCAGACCACAGTATACAACTTGAAAACTAAGCTGGTACTAAGTACTGGCAAACAGACAGCACCTCTTCAAGATGTTTCAGGTCACCATGCCAATGGCTGAGATGACAAACTCTTAGCACCTGCCAGGCATCAATTAGTCAGCTCAGCAACATGATAGGAACTTGTTTCAGAGTAACTGCTAAATCCAGATTTCCTTTTCCTTCCCTGATAATTTGTTCATTATCATCCCTTGATATCCAACTTGGCTGTGTTTAACCTTTGCCTTTGCATAGAGCATAGAACTGGTGTAAGATTTAAAAAAGAAAATCAGATGCAGAAACTTTTCCAGAAAAAAAAAATACTCAAATGCCTGAGATCAGTTGTTAGATCCTTAGTCTAAGAAAAGATGCTATGTGCCTTTCTAAGCTACAACTTAACAGCTTCACAGTGTTTTTTTGTGGCATAAACAGGAAGCAACAGCTGCACTGCACACCGGCCTATCTGCCTCTGCTTTAAAAAGAAGAGATCCCTCAGTGAGCAGAAAAAAATGTTGCAGGGCATTTCCTTCCTTAAATGCCAGGTACCTGAAGCAGTGTTTCTGATCTCCAGATCTCCTGGGAGGCTGGGTCAGCGTTCACAGAGGGCTGGTGGGCAATGTGCCGCTTCAGCAGGCTGGTGTGGTGCATGCCATAGGAGGAGAAGGGCACTGCTGGGGACCTTGGAGGACAAATGCATGCAATTACACAAGTCAGGAGGGCTGGCTGCAGTACAGGGGGATGTAGGGATGCATCATTGCTTTGAATCAGTATTTTATACACTTTAAAACAGTCTTTCAAACTGCATAATTGATTACACATTTCAAACTTCTGCAACTTCCTCTAATTATTAATCACTTGAACTCTAGCTATAACCAAACACTGCAACACTGTTCCTAAGTAATAACTACATACAGATGAAGTGTGGAGGTGTTTTCTACCCGTTTGATCTTGTTCCAACAAGCCATATTTTGCCTGCACTGTCCCCACAACTCCCCCCTAACACTGGAGCCATTACCTGGGAGTAGGGGAAGGGATGGCTCCCCCAGGATTTGAAGAAGGTGGGGGAAGGACACTTCCTTCTGTGGGCAGGAAACACTTGAGGTACGTGTCCACCAGGATGAAATAAGCACTGTTGGAAGGGCTGACATGATGGGTGACAGGTGAGTTCTGTAAGAGACACACAGGATGTACCTGGGGTTAAACACTGCTGCTTTAAGCCAGTGTTGGGGAGGGATGCCAGACCCCCTCAGCATAAAAAAGCAGAAGCCCAGTGGTTAGAAAGGGTGAACTGGCAGCAAAGATCCCTTGGAGCAAAGGAAAATGAGCTGTCAGAGAAGGCTGCTGCAGCAATGACTGTAACCAAGCACAAGACAGGTAACCAAATAACCTCAGAGCAGAGGAACCAAATAACCACAGCCCACGGCACCAAGCTGTGGTTCTGACTGTAGAGAAACCCTTACTGGGTACAGGAGGAGAGAAAACATTTGGAATCCACTGCCTGCTCCCTGCTGCCATGAGACTGCTTACTGGTGTATCCAAGGTGGGTATTTTGTTTTTTATCCAGTCTTGGATCACCAAGTGAACCAAAGCAATAACAACTTCCAACAGAACAGATGAAACTGCTGTTAATTTAGCTACACAGCATCCCAGAAGGCTCTTAAGAGAATTAAGGAGAAAGGCCAGTACTATTTTAAGGGGAAAAACACAAAAGGTACTTACCTTCTGAGTAATCAAACTGATTGCAAAGTAAAACATGTAATACTCAAATGGATCTGGAAGAACAGAGTTAAGGATCACATAATAAAAACCAGGTACAGTTGTTAGATATTGGGAGATGCTGAACAGACACTACCTTTGTATTTTGTCAATGCTAAAAGCTCTAGCTTGCTAGAGCTTTTGAGCAAATTCAGCCTTGGCTTCTTGCTCTCCAGCTGGCTGAAACATTGGTAATTGAGGTGTTCTCTGTGTGGCAAAGTGTGTTTGTGCTACTCTTGGTACATCTGACTGCTGCAAACGGAAACCAGCACAGCTACACTGCTTCCAAAAGTACTCTAGCTGCAAAGTGAACGTGCCCTTTTCCCACCATATTGCATAAACTACAAGCAATTACAAAAACAAAAATTGTGAAATACAGGCTCTGCTCAGAAACACTGGGAATTTTGTTGTTGACTTGATTAAGGCCAGAAATTCCTCCAACAAGGGTTTATGAGGACACATTTATTTTAAATTGTAATCTAAACATTTCTAGTCAGCCCAAACTCTTCAGCATGACCATGACTTACCCCACACAGATAAGAAATGTTTAACTAAAACACTCATGATCTCTCAGTTTTAGATATTTAAAAAAAATTAGATACTCTTCAATTAAAAGGATACTAAGAGCCAAATTCAAACCTAAACCACCAGAGGAAGGAAACTGGACTTTGTTGTGGTATAAAGAGCATTCTGGTAGAACTTGCTCTTGTATTGAAGCCTTCACAGGGCCCTGAAAGACAGAGTAATGAAATATTAATCTGGGTGCTCAGGATATTGCAAAGTTTGTTTTCAGATAGTGGGATTCTGCATTCCAGCATTCTGGGATGATCTCTACATTCAGCTCAGTGACTATATTGCATTGCAGCAGTTCCATGTCCAAATGCAGGGTCTTTAGAGAACTCTCCACTTTCTCTCTGAAATGAGTATTCATTTTTTTTAAAATTTAAATTCAGTATTTTTTAAAAAAGCCTTTACAGTAACTTTCTCAGTTGGAGTGGGAGCAGCAGGGTATTGGTGTTTGGCTGCTGGTTTTGTCCAGGTAATTGAGCTGTGGACCAGCAATTACCATATATTTAAATGAGGTTTCCTTTTGTCAAAGCCTGTAGGACCATCTGAACCAATTTCTAGGTAGCATGTAGACAGTAGCAATAGAAGAAACACAGCAAAACAACTCTGCAGATGAATACTTTTGTTGGAAATGTGACACTTCACATCCAGGAGAGCAGTCAGACTTCAAACACACGGGCACACAGCACAGGGAAGGCACTGCTCTGTGATAACTTTAGAATACTTTCGATCCTGCAACTTCCAATAACCACACAACTCTCTGGGGACAGAGGAAGAATCACAGTGCAGCTTTCTTGGCTGAACACACATATCCAGCTGCTGAGAACCACAATCTCCTAGAGATTTTATGGCTGGGAACTCTCCTCCTCCACTCAAGAGCCATTTCAAGCAATGGGTCTGCTCTAAACCTGGAGCACTGAGGCTACACCTTGGCCTACACTGAAATGTAGGTACGAAGTGCATGCAAAGTTCCAACAGCTTCCACAGCAACTACATTCCCTTCTTACAAACTATTCAGTTACTCACTGGAAGATATGAGACTGGGAAATCATATCTGTACTCTTCTGCTTGGAGTTTGTAAACCAGCTTCATCATCGGGCCACTGCAAACAAGCATCAGAGAGTGAATCCCATGGTCAATACCCTCTGCTGCCTCACTTCTGTGAACTTAGGTTTGCACAGTGGAAAAAGGCCAAACACTGGTCATTTGTTCACCAATCCATTTCTTAATCTGTGCTGAAAGGAATGAGTTTACCTGGGATCCAGGAAATCCAAGGCCACAGAATATTCATTAGGGTTTGTTCTTCCCTGCAAGCAGCGTAGATTCCAGCCCACGATGATGCCATCCAGGCTGCCAAAAATGCTTTCCACCAGCCATGGGAAGATGCCATGTAGTTCCTTCAGGGCAAACAGAGACAAAGAATTAATGTGCACAATTCCTCACTTGGACAATCTCTACTGCATGTACTAGACCACACAAAGATATGTCAGCCATTTATTTATGTCTGTTTCTGGGTTATCACTGGGCAAATCATCCATTCAAAACATTGCACTGTAACATGGCAATCATGGGAGACCTAGCCTGATTGCTGATCCTACTGAAGTTACAACAATGCTCATCAGATCACTTGCAGTTATTTGCCACATTTTAAAAACAAGTTTTCTTTATCAACTGAGGCTGAAAGGTATTAATGAAGGGCGGCGAAATGAAACAACCTTTTAATGACTAAAAAAGGTTCCCAATTCTTGGCAACACTGCATTCCCACTGTTTCACTGGAGGCCCCCAAAACCCAGAATCACAGAATCAGTTAGGCTGGAAAAGAGCTGAGATCATCAAGTCCATCCTGTGACCAGACACCACCGAGCCAACCAGACCACGGCACTGAGTGCCAGTCCCTGGACACCTCCACACTGAGTGCCAGTCCCTGGACACCTCCACACTGAGTGCCACTCCCTGGACACCTCCACACTGAGTGCCACTCCCTGGACACCTCCACACCGAGTGCCAGTCCCTGGACACCTCCACGTGGCCCCACCACCACCTCCCGGCCGCTCCAGACAGTTTGTCTTGACAAGACAGAGAGGAACACAGAAAACAGTAATACAAAAAGCCAATTTCCCTGCAGCTTGCCAAGCAGCGAGGCTCTGACGAAGCCGGGGCTGCTCACCTTGGCGGGCAGCTCCTCGATGACGGTCTCCAGGTCGCGGCACCTCTGCGCAAACGGTTTGTTGACACAATCCGCCTTCAGCGTGGCCTGGCACAAAGCACAGGGGAAATCCGATCACGGCTGCGGGGCAGGACAGCACTTACCGCGGCCATGACGGCGAGAATCCCGCCTAGCGCCGCTCCCGGCGCGGCATTCCTCACACCCGAGGGCAGGGGCCGGGACAGCGGCGCCTACCGAGACACCGCTCCGCTGCCGCCCGGCCCGGCCCGGCCCGGCCCATTCCCGCGGGCTCGCGGCGCTGCATTCCCCCAGCAGGAGGAGGCCGTGTCCCCGCACTCACCAGCAGGAAGCTGGGCTGCTGCAGGTGCGGCCCGGCCATGCCGCCGCTCCGCTCCCGTCCCGCGGAGCCCTCAGCGCTGCCCCCGCCCGCCGCCGCTCGCGCCCCGCGCCCGCGCGGCCCTTGCGCGTCACGGCCCGCGCGGATGACGTCACGGCGACGTTGCCACGGAGACGGCCCCGCGCTGAGGGAGGGCGCGGCCCGCGGCCGAGCTGGCGATATCCCGAGCCGGGAGCGACCCTCAGGGGTCATCGAGTGCACAGGCCACCCCCGCAATCCCACCCTGTGCCTGCCTGAGGGCGTTATCCAAACACTCCTTGAACTATGTCAGGTTTGCCCTGGGGAGCCTCTTCCAGTGCTCAGCCACCCTCTGGCTAAGAACCTTTTCCCGATATCCAACCTAAACCTGCCCTGACTCAGCTTTGTGCCATTTCCTCGAGTTCTGTCCCTGGTCACCAGAGATGAGATCAGTGCCTGCCCCTGCACTGCCCCGCCATGAGGGTGCTGAAGACCGAAACGAGGTTTCCCCTCAGTCTTCTCCAAGGTGAACAGAGGGCCCTCAGCCGCTCCTCGTGAGGCTTCCCCTCCCTTCCCCAGCCTCATGTCCCTCATCTGGATGCTCTCTGATAGCTTAATGTCTTTTCTACACTGTGGTGCCTGTTATGAATAAAAATATACCTATTTTTATTTAAGGTTACAGAGAAAAAAAACGGTGGGACCAGTTGCTGTTAAATTAGCTTAATTGTAAAGAGTTCTTTAATTGCCCGTTAATGGTTGGTGATTTAGCCATTGTCCTCCCTGGTGCTTGCCCCGGAGCTACACCTGGACACGCAGCCCAGGAGAATAGGAGTGGCCTGGGACCACGTACGCAAATGAGAAATGCACCGCGCCAAAATTTTCCCGTTTTCTTGGAAAACCCCTAAAAACAATGAACCAATATAGAATTGGGGGATCCTAGGTTATGTCTAAGGATGGGCGTGAAGTCCAGTACCTGCTTGGATCCTTTTTGCTTCACACCCTGACCTCAAGAGATGTTCCATAAGGAGGGGACCCGAAGTGTTGGACTGAAAAGCAGGAATCTGCGAATCTCCCGTGAGGACGCAGTCCCCAGCTCTGCCTGCAGACCAGCGGACAGAGCTGCATCACCCTCCTCCTCCGTGCCACTCTTGGGGACAGCGGCGGCGTGGGCGCGACCCGTCGATTTCTCCCCACCTGAGCTGAATCTCTTTAATAAAGGCATTGAAAAGGAGAAAGACCTCCTGCCCTATTTATGTCAGTGCCCAAACGGCACACAACATTCATGGTGAGGCTACCCCAGTGCAGGGCAGAGTGGGACAATCCCCTCCCTTGCCTGGCTGGCCATTCTGATGGCCCCCAGGACACGCAGTCCCTCCTGGCTGCCAGGGCAATGGTGACTCACATCCAACTTTCCAGGACCCCCAGGTCCCTTCTGTTATGAATGAAGTTCTATATGTCTAATTAATAACCAAAAAAATTGAATTTAGCAGCAATTTTAATTGAGCAGCAATTTTATATAAATGAATACAATACAAAAATTTGGCAGTGATTAATTAGTATGATTAAGGTTTGTACGAAGCATAAGTAAAACTGACCAGGGAATGGGGAGGGATTCTCACCCTGCCTCACGTACAAAACAAAGGAATCCAAACGAAACTTATATACTGCATGCTACTACATATTCATCAATATTTTTCTGTAAATCTCCTCCTCTTTTCAATTCTTGAAATCTACGTCACTATACTGCATAGTGCATGCTCCATTTGTTGCTAGGGGTCTCCTGGCTTTTTGGTGATCTCTTCAGAGGAAGGCTCACTGTCTTCCTCGCTGTCCCCTGAATAACTTTACAGGTTGCACATGCACACATATAATAACCAAATTAACAGTACATGCTTAAAGATCTATCAACTATTTTACAGCAGTTTTTAACCTATTTTTAACAGTTTTGGTTCGTTAATTGGAGATTGTATTAATGTTGAGATTTCTTGGTTAATGTAATAACGAGTGTGGTGGGTTTGGTGTTGGTTAATTACTAGTGTGCTTATTTTTGTTGCGAGGTAGGATTAGGAGAAAGGTAAAGTAAGTTCAAAAGGTATGTGTCTAGCTTTCTAGTAGTTAGACTTTGTATCACTTCCCTAAATGTCTCTTGTGTTAAACCATAACAAGGGCAAAGACTACCTCGCTGATAGCACACACCTCCAGACTGCTCAAAAGAACAGGTCTGTCCAAACTATAACACTCGTGTGTGTGTGCTGTGAAAAACGCCAATCACTTGTTTTTAAAATTTTAATAGTAATAGAATGGTTATAAAAATAGTAATATAATTAGAGTAATAAAAATTTGGAAAATCAGGATTAGGACAATACGAGACAATAAAAACAAAGAGTTATGGACGGTCCAGGTACCTCTTTCTGGACAAAATAAGCCCAAAAAAGGACCCATGTTAACAGAGGATTAACCCTTAAAAACAATAGCCTGTTGCATATTCATACACCTCATACATGATGCATAAATTCCATTCAAACAAAGGATTCTGTCTGGTCAGTGTCACCTTCTTCTTCTGAATCCTGATGGTATCTTCAGGGCTGAGTAAGGTGGGGAGAAGTTTGTTTCTTCTGATAAGAGAGCAATAAATTCTTTTTCTCTGAAAGATTTAGGTGTCCTGTGGCTGCTATCTCAGTGGGAGTACCTCATTCCTATCTTAAAAAAAGTATCTTACATAGCACAGTTTCTGTTTTAACATTATGTTATAACCTAAAACTATATTTAACACGCTACTGAAGAAAATTAATACAGCATAACTTTCTGACATACCACTTATAATATTAATTTCATGTTTGCGAAAAGCCAATCATAAAATACCCATTTTTCACATGTCCTGTGCTGTGTGTGATGCACACAAGTGTGAGTGTCCTGTGTGTGATTCCTGCCGTGTCCTACACGTCCCATTGCAGACAGAGGCTAGCTGTGAGTGAACGCCGCTCCTCGAGGGGTCTGTCCATCCTCCAGGTGGGGATAACGAGCTGCTTCAGCTCCAGAAAAAGCTGCTGGGGTTTGATGGCAAGGATTCCGCGGTGTTTTTACTTGGCTGTGAAAGTTATATGTGTGAGTGTCAGGGACTAAGGAAACGTAAAGCCTGGTGTGTTTTCAGTGGGTGATAGGATCCGGGAAAGATTGCAAGAGGAAACAAAGGATTGGGTGAAAATGTGGAAACACAACACTGGAGGTGCTCAGTAGGGAAGGCTCAGTGATGCCTGTTCAAACAGACAGCTGCGTGGGAGAAATGTATCCAATTATTTTAAGCACTAATGGGACCGCTGAGGAGAACTGTGGAACGGCAGTTTGGTGTGCTCTGGAGCCTACTGAAATGGATGGTGTAGGTTCATTATCCCCCTTACAGAGAGCATTTTCACATGCGTATATCAAGGTTGTAGATGTATTTTTTCCCATTTTGCAGATGCAAAGACCAAAGTCAGAAAAGTCACCTCACCTAGGTTTCCTCCGATATGCCACTTATCTAGGTTTCCTTTTTCCCTTCCTCCCAAATTTTAGCTGCCTTTAAGCCACAGCAACAAGAAAGGCTTTTTCTCTGTTGTTGGTATTTTTTTCCTGGGAGAAGTATCCCTGAGGGAGTTGGAGGCTGAGCTGTTTTCTGCAAGTATGGATTCCGTGGTTTTGGGCTTGTTTTATGTTTTTATCATGCATTGTCAGAGGTTTCTGATAGGCAAATAAGTGACTAACCAGCCATAACAAGAGCTCTCCTGGGTAGCCTCACATTTTGTCACCTTGGTGTAATCACTAGAGCGTCAATCAAACTGTACAGAGGTAATTAGGTTAATGTACTTGTCATAAAGATGAATAAGTAAATTTGTGCATAGAATATTGAGTTAATGCAACACTCAGTTACCAGAAAATCCATGAAGAAAAGAGAGTCTAAATCCTGCAATGCCAGCTTGCACTGTGATGATGCTCAGGTTAAACATTTGGGAAAAGAACCAGACTGTGGTTCTGGTGCTCACAGTGCTGGCTCTGGAGCTCATACAGCCTTTATTTCTAAAAGCAGTACTAAAAACCTTTTGAATTAATCCATATGGGGCATCCACTGCACCATCCACAGGCATAGATGGGAAGTTTGGGTTCAGGAGTGTTACATCAAGGCTTTAGGAAGCGACTTTTCCCCTTTAAAATGAAGTGGTGTAGTGAGAGATGCTGTCAATTATAGAGCTGATGAACATCAGAGGAGAAACAGGAGCTTTGGGACACTCCAGCTTCTCCTGAAGTCTGACTCAGATGCAGCAAACAAGTCCAAGCTGGGAGCATGTGACTGTAACTGTAACCTGGTTTTGCTGATTAATGAAAGGAAAAGGCAAATTAGAAATAATCTAATTTAAAGAAATAGCATAGGCATCTGATAACATAGTCAGACCTTGTTGCTTTTACAGGATTAATTTAGTCTCTTCCTGTAAGTACAGGTTAGAGTGTTCTAACAGTGGAGATCTGTCAAATGTTTTCTTTTGGCTGGAGAATTGTTTGGGTGTTGATATGTCAGGGATGGGTGAAAGGATCAGAAAACATCCAGTTTGTTTAGCTGTCATGGGAACAAAACCAGACTACCAGTTAATGAGAAATCATCTGGAACAGGGCCTGGATTCATATAGCTGGAGAGAAAAGGGGAATTTTCAGAACTGTCATTATGTTTCTAACCCAGTCAAAGTAACTTCTGTCTCCAAAGCTGTTCAGTTCATGCAGACACCAGCTTTATGCTGTTCCTGACGTGCACAGGCCTGCTAAGTCTGTCAGTCAGAGTTCCACTTGGCTGGAGATGAGACTTCATGTGTAGTCTGAGAAAACATCAACTCACCCAGTGCATGTGATGGCTTCTCCTGTGAAGGAAATATTAGCAGCATTGAACCATTGCAGGACGAGACATCCCCATCTCCACCCAGTTTGAGTGTGTGCAGCTCTTTGGGCATCCATTGTCATTTTTCCTAAAGATTTCTACAAAATAGTTATATTTTTGTCTGGTTTCTGCAGGCAGAGATTGCTTAAGATATTGCATGACAGCATGGTATCAGGAGTTCCAGCTCCAGCTTG